ACGCAATATATTTACACGTTGCAGCGAAGTGTAGCCGCGGCGAGAGACCGTGCCTGACTGAATGCAAGTCGGGCAATTACCTGACTTTCGTATTGCCAAATTAGAAGCGTGTATCACGAATACAAATCATAAATAACTATAAAACACCATAGGTGGTAAGCAAAAAAAAAACCTATGTTTATGCACGAAGGTATACATGACATACAGTCATTAGGAAAAAATCAAATAATAATTTATTTTGAAAGTAACCTTAGTTTCAACATGATATCAATCTATAAAATATCGGTCGGTAGTTGAATGCCATCCAGGTTTATTGACGTTTATACTCGGTTCAAGGTCCCTATGTTTCGTTTGAAAGCTTTAGAGAAGTAATGCCAGATTCATAACTTAATGATAGCGAAGTAACGAAATTATAGATCTAATATTGGACGAATAACATATTACAGAACACGAGTATAACCTCATTGCAAGCATAATGTCTTTTATAGCTGTTACTGAATAAATTATCTTTTTTATGTGTAAAGAATAGCTAGCCAGCATAAGTCTAGCAGGAAAGTAAGCTGTATTAAGATGGTTGCGATACTAGCACCCTTAACATGAACCAATATCGAATTCGAATACTTGAATTCGATCTCGATATGCGTGAAATGTCAAGAAGTTTTTATGTATGGAAATTTGAATAGCACCACAGCGGACGTAACGAAAATAAAAAATGTTCCATACAAAACTTCTAAGCAATCAACGAGTATCGATATCGAATTCATATTCATTCGAATTTAATATTGCGGCACCTGTAAGAAAAAAAAATGCAACAAATTTGTTGGTGATATTGAGATAAGATGACATGATTACTGAGCAAAAAATGCGAATCTTTTTACACTTATTATCGTATCTAAATTTCTTGTAGTTTAAAATGTACACAGTATAGAAACATCGTATAATGCGACTCAAATAAGAATAGGAAAGCCAATGACCTCTATTTGGAAAATGTCGCTTGAATAGTCCGGTTTGCAAAAAATAAAACTTGGAAACCTATTTTAGCACTCCGCTAATTTAAGAATAAAAACCAAACATTTGTAAACAAACAATAGCCAATATTAATTATTAATATTGTTTGATATTTTTTTTATTTATTGAGCTTTGGCTATGATTGGTTGATAACCTAAATCGTCAACCAAATGTCACTTTAAGTTGCGTTCATAAACTCGATTTTAATCTTTTTTTTACATAAAGGATGCATGTTCGTATGTGACCTAGTAATAGTGCATGATTATTCATAACTACTCCAGCGGTAATGCAGAGATGAGCGGAATAGAAGAACTAGATTCTGATTTGTGTTTTTTCACACAGTCTTAATAAATAAATATTATTAAAAATCGGTGTTTTTTTTCTCAATCTTAGTAAATAAATGTAATTAAAAAAATCTGATGATTTTTCTCACTTAAACTTAGTAAATATGTTTTATTAAATAAAAACTTTTTTTTGCTCACTCTACCTATTTGGTTTGAATTGACAGCTATGGCGTGACAATATCGCGCCCAGTCGGTCCTTTTCTTAGTTGAATCGCATTATAAGCTTATAATGCACCACTGCCTCTATCGTCAGCAAAGTATAAAGATTTATTAAGCTTATGTAAAAGTAATGCTATTCCAGCCATTTATCACAATTATTACATTATTGCATTATCGCACATAACTGTTACACGTCAAAATGAATCACCTGATTCTGATTAAGTACCTAAATTAGTATTTTTTTTTATAGATAGGTCCGACAAATAACTCCTCCCCACCTGATTTTAAGTGAATGTCCAGACGCGAAAATAGTTGATACAGCTGTTCTACCTGCCACACCAGCCATCCTCACCCTGCCGGCCCGAATGTTGCTTCTTCACGCCTCTTTTAAAGGATGCTAGGTTGTAAGAGGGAGGGAACACGTTTAGAATAGTAGTTAATTAGAAATTGTGATTGATTAATAATAAATCAAATTCATAGAAATATATTAGATTAATACTCTTACAATATACAGTATAATTAACTAAATATAGTAAACTTCCTTATTTTTTTTGGTGCCCATCGCAATGGTAACGTTCAGTCAGTCATTCAGTTGTACTGTGCGGATTCCCTTACATCATCATTAATTCATATAAAGTCATTGATTTGTAATTTTATTTTGATGGGGTAATACAAACAAAAATAGGTATAACAAAAGCGTATAATTGATATAAAGACTGTTAAGAATAATAAAGATGTTAATTAATGAAACTTAACTTTATTTCTAATGGTAACTCCAAAATGCATACCCAAACAATTATAAAATTTATCTCAGACATACAGTTTTTTTTTATTTAATCAATATAACAAATTGATACAATGTATCATTGTATGTCTGAGTTACAATGCCATTTTACGAAGTTTATGCGGATAGATTTAATTGTAACTCACAAAAACAATCATCAATATCAAAATCATTCAATATATAAATTGATTGAATGATGATCATTGAATATATGTGCTCTTTCCTTGTCTTATTAAATTTTCAAGGGTGAATGACATTAGGATATCTCCGAAATCTGTGCGATTTTTTATAATCTTTGTCGCGCTCTTCTGTAAAATGTCTTATACTTAACTAGCTGACCCAGCGAACTTCGTACCGCCCTAAAAAAATAGGGGTTGTCCAGCGGACAAAATTGTGAATCTAAACCATTCTCAGATCCCCTTGAACATACACAAAAAATTTCATCAAAATCGGTCCAGTCGTTTAAGAGAAGTTCAGTGACATACACACTCACAGAAGAATTATATATATAAAGACTAGCGGACCGTCCTCGCTTCGCTTAGGTGTAGAGCTGAAGTGTAGACTACAGTTTTTGTTCTCAGTCTTGTATTATACACAATGACATTCATCTATGATTCTTCTTATACCTGCACGCAAAGTCTCAGCCCGATCGGTTTAAAATTGGCAAAGTTTCATACAAACTTTGATTCCCTATTTTATCCCCTTGGGGGTAGAATTGATCAAAATCCTTTCTAAGCGTATGCCTACGTCATAACATCTACCTGCATGCCAAATTTCAGCCCGATCCGTCCAGTGGTTTGGGCTGTGCGTTGATAGATCACTATGTCAGTCAGTCAGTCACCTTTGAGTTTTATATATATAGATTACGATTTTTTTCCTTGCAAGTGAGAATGGATTCGTGCTAAGAGTACTGAGTATATATGAGGAACAGCTGACGCGTTGCACGTATGTGGTGGTGATTCTTCGGTATTCGGCACATATGTTTGTTGTTTGCAGCAAACAACAAGCATGTCTAGTCTAGCCCACTTAAGATTACTAGACCAGTACCCCTAGCACGAACCATTATCGAATTCGAATAGTTTGCAAACCGAAATGTCAATGTCAAATTTTGTATGGAAACTTGAACAGTTCCCCTAGCACGAACCATTATCGAATTCAAATAGTTTGCAAACCGAAATGTCAATGTCAAATTTTGTATGGAAACTTGAACAGCAGCGGCACAAAGTACGTAAAGAGAACTAAAAATCAGTACACATTTGACAATGACATTTCGGACTCGCAAACGATATGAATTCGATATTGGTTCGTGCTAGGGGTACAGAACGTAGGTATACACTGTATTCTGTTACTAATAAAACAAATGACAAGTCGCTATCATCATCATTAGATGGAATAAGGAGATAGGGCAATAAACCACCACGCAGGCCCAGTGCGGATTGGTGGGTGCTGACAACTGCATATGTAGCTAAGACGGCTTAACGTACCTTCCGAAGCACGGAGAAGCTCGAAATAGTAAGTTTTTGGTCACCCATCCAATGACCGACCATTGCGAAAGTTGCTTCATTTCAATGATTGCAGCTGAACGCCATATGCGTCATCGAGCTCTTCAAAGCGACTATCATATTATAAAAATTTGATGGATGGCGATCTGATCGCAAAAACTGAGCATTTTTCATTCTGAAAACACATAGCACTAATACCCACGATTAAATTAATGGAATTCCAGTTATATTTGGGTTTTCCCATGAATTCAATAGTTATGTAAAAAAGTAATCTTTAAAGTTATATTTTTATTTTTTAAGCAATTAACTGCTGGTTGCTAAAATAAAATGTTAATTATTATTTTTTCTAGTACCATTTTCTTTAGATGTAATCTGTATGTTATTTCGATGTAATTATTACATTGCTTAATGCATTAAGTAAATTTTTGATATCGGTTGCACTTAACATACTATCGCCAATATCATTTCAGTTAATAAGTAAATTTCACAATATCTCAAGGTTTCTCCCTCTTTTCTTTATTAATCAGTTCGATGTCATGTTCTATTTTAAATGTAACTAAATTTATAAGGAAGTTGTAAACTGCTTTATCTAGTAAGACTAAATCCCCTTATTAATAAACTAATAAATAACCTTAGAATAAGATTATACTAGCTACGCCGTGTTTTGTTCATATGCCTCAAGTGTCATTTGTAATCAATAAAGAGAGACAAAACATAGAGTAACTAATCCAAGGATATTCTTCGTTTATTAATAGAAGGGTGAGAGTTTAAAAACGCTAACTCCTTTATAAATTAACGAAGAATAAGCGCCTAAATAAATACGCCAAACCGAAATAAATTGTAAGGCAGAAAATTTCAATAAATATAATCTGATATATTATTATGAAATAACGCATGCAATATTTAATTGCTATTAATAGCAATACGTAAGTTGACCAGAATGAAATATGTTTTTTCTCTCAAGAAAGAACGGAAACTTAATAGGTACTAATAAACTTTTAGAAAAAGCAGTTAAAAACTTGCACCCATGGCAACAGGAATCAAATAATAAAAAAAGATAGATTCCCATTCGCAAACTTCTTGGTTTATTCTAAAAATACAGATCAATCCAGTTTGAAAATGGAACGCGATACAAAATGCAAAAAGTTACAATTAATACATGTCATTAGCGGCCCATGCGTTCACCCTTCTTTGGTCGGATCTCCGGCGTGGGAGGGACGGTATATAACGTGTTGGTTACATGGACAAGCACACAACCAGTCTTCGGCGTGGAACGGAGACTCGCAGCAACATGAAGTTCTTGGTGAGTCTAGTGCAGTTAAAACAGTGGCAGTGTTGTGAAAGAGTTTAGTGAATTAGGGCGCGAAATTTTCGAATTTAGAACGTCTAGACTAGCGTTGCCAGTATTTCCCGAGACGTCCCGTATTTCAGGCATACCTAAACGTCTAACGGTAAACGGTATATATACATAATCAATTCTATAAATACATATGTAAAATCAAACAAAGATAATCTCAAAACTTATACGATCTACTTTGATTAAAAATTCTGAAACTTTTTTAATTGTCTCGGGGATAAATTTAAAATCCCGTTTTTAAAATTGACAACCTTAGTCTGGACCACAGATTACAGTGGAGTGGTACTCTTAATTTTTGGAGCGATTTATACAAAGAGGTTGCGGTTTTTGACGTTAAATGTTTACTATTTCGGTAGTTCTGTTGTTGTCTAATTGGTGTATAGTAGTCAAATTAAAATTCATTTAATATTTATTTTACAAAATAACAATTTAGCAGATATACTTTACATAAAGTTTCAGCCGCGACTTCTGTGGGTCAATTTTCATACCCTCTTTTGCACCATAAGGTCAACCCCTCCCCTTCCCCCCCAATCCTTCTTAGTGCTCTATCACGTAATTGAAAGAACCTTTGTGTAAAATTTTCATGTTTGAAACACTAGTAGTGTTTATGTTCTGCATAAGTTAGTTTTTTTTCTTATATTAAAAGTATGGACTTTTTGTAACTTATAAAAGTAATGTAAATTAGCATATTTTTTTACGAAGAAAAGTTTTCATTGACATTTAGCAGATAAATAATATCGGTCATTCGTCTTACGACAAGGAAATAAGAGTATAGACTTTCTCACGGAACATACAATTTTCTCAGAGTAGTGTGACAGGTTATAGCGATAAATTGTAATTTTCTTTTCACTTTCTATATGTACGAATGTGAAAGTAACGAAAATTGTAGCCTTTTAGATAACTATTATGACTGGTGGGCGTACGTACGAGACAATTTAATCTCGTAATTATGGCAACCATAGCGTAATGACACCTTCCGTAGATCCACAATGAGATAACATTTTAAATATGAAAACACTAGCGGCCGCCCGCGACTTTGTACGCGTGGAGTTAGTTAGAAATAAAGGTTCACTGCTGTAGGTGTATAATATGTTGACCCGACTTCTTAATAATATTCGTGCCAAATTTGAAGTAAATCCATGCAGTAATTTTTGAGTTTATCCCAGACATACATACAGACAAACAGACAAAAATTCTAAAAAACTATATTTTTGGCTTCGGTATTGATTGCAGTTCACACCCCAAGTATTCTTTTAAAAATATAATCAATGTACACTTTTGACTTTCCTACCATTGTATTGTATGTATAGATATGTATTGGCAACATTATTCAATAAAAAAATGCGATGTTAGTTTCTATTGATACGGTCACCTTTTAACATGCGTACATAACCGATTCGATGATGGATTTATTTAAGACAAGACAACATAAATCGTTATAGTTAGATATTCGCGGATTGCAGTGCGTAACATGTTAATGACGCAACGCATTATGACACACGCGGATGGTCGATTTAATACCAGTACCCGGTTCACAGTAATAAGCTCAGCGGAATCTCACGGTGGTACTACTAGTAGCTAATTGGTGTTTGTTTGTTTTTTCTTTTGATTAACCGACTCTTACAAAGAGGAACTCGATGGCGTGGGTGGGTAGCGCGTTCGGCTGCGATCGTTGAAGTTAAGTAACTTTCGCTGTGGTCAGTCATGGGATGGGTGACCAAAAATCTTCTATCTCGAGTTCCTCCGTGCTTCGGAAGGCACGTTAAGCCGTTGGTCCCGGTTGCATCTGCAGTCGATAGCACCCGCCAATCTGCACTGGGCTCGCGTGGTGGGTCATGGCCCAATCTCCCTATTCCATTCATAGGGAAGGCCTGTGCCCCAGCAGTGCGGACATTAATAGGCTGATGATGACTCTAACAAATATGAGGTCACACGCTTTCTTTGTTGTCAAATGTTTTAGTTTTGCACGGATAGCTAAAAGCAAAGACATAAGTATTTTAATACGCAACAGAAAATTGAGTGCTTAGATTGAAAATAGTTAAACTATTGGTACGGATTTGTTTTCTTAGGAATAGTCTATATAGGTCTGCTACTCATCTGTTCTTCTTCAGTCATAAATAATTAGTAGATCAATTATCACTGTCAAGGCGCTCCTAAACATTTCGAAAATCTAACAAAACAGTATATTAAAAAGTCGCCGCCATTAAACCCGTCACTATGAAATTGCATAAATTTAGCCAAATTAATAAATACCAATAAAAAAAACAGAGTTCGACCTAGGACTTATTCGAAGAACAAATTAATAACCAATCTGCATCAGGTCAAAGTCAAACTTTCTTCATTGAAATTGGATCGTAGTATCGTACAAAATGTTTAAATTATAAAAAAAAGGAATTTAGATACTCAAACTCCCAACCTAGCTTATGCTATAGTTTTTATATTATTCTATGTATTAGTAACACAAACGCTTTAAACTGGACAAAATTAATGTTTGGAATTTAATATCAATGGAAGATTTTAAAACGTAACGTCTGGCAACCCTAGAAAAAGCGCAAATTCATTTTCATCGTGACGAGAAGCACTCGATTTAGAAATTCAAAATGCATGCGAGCCGCTGGGCCGTTGACACTGGCCTTTCCGCATTTGCGTAAACAAACAAAATTCCGGATAGAATAGTTAGTGCTTATACATTACGTGTTGTAAATCTTAAAGTCAATTTTGTTGCAAATGTAGGTCTAATCTAACTTTCAGAATTATATAATTGAATAATGGATGCATTTTAACGAGATACGCTTTGCATGTACATAGTATGTAGTTATTACAAGCAATAAATTTTCAGTGTGCTTTGCCAATTTAATATGTTCGTTATCCAAAGTGTAGAAATAAGGCTTAAATAAACTAATCAGCATTTTTCAACATTTGAAAGGTCTGATATCTAAAGAAAGTAAAAAAGAAACAAATTAAAATAGGAAGTTTGCTTTAATTACTAAACATGTCTCCGCAACGGTACCGATTTGAAGTAGAAAAAGTCATAAAAAATCATAATTATTGCTCCGTCAATTTCTCTCTACAGATAACGTAAAAGCTTTTAGTGTCGTCTTAAATATTTGAATCATCATTTCCTATAAATTTATAGGAGTGAGATGCAAAAATCTGTTTCCTGTTCAATTACTCGGCAACAGATGCAGTTACACGATTACATAACATATTTGCTTTCATTTCGTTTCTGTATTCGTATTAACGGGTGATCGTAATCAGTAAAAGTTGCCTTTGCGGCAAGAGCAATTTATAATTGTAAGTTTGTTCAATTAAATCTCGCGGTAGTATAAAACTATGTACACTGATATGCAAAACTAAGTATCACATTTCTAAAATTTCAATTTTTTCTAAAATACCGAAGTTATAGATACCGCCGTAGATTTGCGAACCGATGGCGTAGCTTTTCGACATTCACAAGTGCTTGTAACAGCCTAGACTGAATAAACGATATTGAATTTTGTTTTTTTTTGAATTTTTATAGTTTTAAAATAAAATACCTTTTATAGCAAATTTTATCACCTTTCTTTGAAAGACTAGTACAAAATGAAACAATTTTTTCGAGTCTTTTTATTTCAAAAGTATATATATATCTTGTGTACTTAAAAAGTTATTGGAATTTTGCAGTTTTATTTGTATATTTAATTCAGAACGATAAATTGAAAAAGACACCAGATAGACTTAAATCCTAAATATTGATTATTATTAACGGAAGTTTCTTAAAAAAGGATGTTTATTGGTTTCTAATATTCTTTTTGAATTATTGACTAACGCAAACTCACTTTTCCACGCGGATTTCACCTGTGTGATTTGAAATTCGAGTTCTAATTTTAAATGACACCGTGAATTCTTACAGAATATGCCTACTAGATTTAAAAGCATTACAACTACTGCTGCGTCATTCTTTCCTTGTATTTTATTATGCAAGGTGCAATATAACTATAAATTTATGAAGAATTTATCTTAATCATTACCTTTTATACTTATTTATAACTTAAGTAATTATTAGAATTCTAAACTGCGAGCAAATTATATCGTGCAGTATGACTTTCACTGAAAACGTACCATGTAATTTAATATCTAGTTAAACATACAAAATTGCTTACATACATAATAAATATGAAATAGCAATGATTGTTTACGTTCCAAAAACTGAGTTAATTGTAGCTAAGAAATTATTCTACAAGTTAAAGACGCATTGTTTCCTACCACAATAGTGATGGCGGCCATCAAAATGTCAGTATTTTGAAATTGCGTAAAATTCACATGACGATCGTATGATAATACACATACAAAAGTCAAAGACAAAAGGGTTTGATTGAAATCTTAATGATGGAGTTACACAAAACTATAATATAGCAAAGTTAAATTGACGTTATAAAGGTGTACTCAACTCATAGCGAAATCATAAATACTTACTGGCTACGTGATGTAAGAGAAACTGTGAAATATTAGATCAATATTTAGATAATGTAGAGCGAAGTTTTACCTTCCTTACTAGTCGTGTCGCTTAGAACTAAAGCGATGGATTACGCAATAAAACAATTGAAAGTTCTTAACTGCTACTTACTAATAGCGATAAAAGTTCAATTCTCTTTGTGTAAGCTGTTGTGCAAATATGAGCTCTAATCGGTCAAAAATAGAGCTGTATTTCTTTCATTTTGTATGTACGCACAGAAAAATGCGTAAACACCATCAATGAAACACGAAATGAGGTGATAAAAATCACTTCAATTGAATACCAAATAGTTCACAAGACGTTTTAAATCCTGGTAGAAAGTAACTTAGTATTCTTATAGCGGATTTTGAGATCAATCTGAACAATTGTATGTTGTACTTAGCAGCGAAACTTTTTTAATGTCAATTCGATACTCAGTTTTTATGCCTCATTCTGTTAGTTAGTTCTTATAAAAGGCAGTGGATTTTGTGTAATTTCAAATATTAGCATTTATCGACACTAAATAGTGACTAGGTACCTATTTAAAAAATCTGCTACTCATCATGAATAAGTTTTCAATTGAGGTTGGATATTACGTCAAAACTACACAAAAGAGAGATTTTATTGCTTTCTATGATTATACAAAATGTTTAAATATCAGCAGTTGATTCATGATTATCAGCTAAAAGTCTTTGAGACTACATCGACTGATCATTTTAGTAAACTTCAGTGACCATTTACATTACTTAGCACAGTAATGCAGCCACAGAAATTTTATATCTAGACAGCTCTTTCTACTGTTATTTGAGTACAAAGTGACTGACAGCATTTGTTTTTGTTCGCAGGTTGTTCTAGTGGCATCATTGGCCGTGGTGGCCTTTGCCAGCGAGGAGAAAGGCGCACCAAAACAAGCGGCAGCCGAAGATAAGAAGCAAGAGAAGCGCGGCATCTACGACCTCGGCTCCTACGGCAGCAGCGGTGGCGGTTACGGCGGAGATGAGGGACACAGCTTCGGAGGCGACGGAGGCAGCTATGGTGGTAGCTACGGCCAGGAAGGCGGCAGCATCGGAGGCCACGAGGGCCTGAGCTACGGAGGCGGAGATTATGGTGGCTCTTCCGATTGGAAACCCATCGGCGGCGGCGGCGGCAGCGGCGGCGGTGGCGACTACGGACACCATGAGCACGTCAAAACCGTTGAGGTCATCAAAAAGGTCCCCGTGCCCTACACCGTGGAGAAGCACGTACCCTACACCGTTGAGAAGAAAGTGCCCTACGAAGTCAAGGTCCCCGTACCTCAACCCTACACCGTCGAAAAGAGGGTCCCTGTCAATGTCAAGGAGTACGTCAAATACCCCGTCTACGTGCCCGAACCTTACACTGTGGAAAAGAAGGTCCCTTACGAAGTCAAGGTCCCCGTCGACAAGCCTTTCGAAGTCAAAGTGAAAGTGCCCACTCCTTACACTGTCGAGAAGAAAGTGCCTTATGAAGTCAAGGTCCCCGTGCCCCAGCCCTACACCGTCGAGAAGAAAGTGCCTTATGAAGTCAAGTACGAGGTCAAAGTACCCCAGCCTTATGAAGTCATCAAGAAAGTACCTTATGAAGTGAAAGTCCCGGTCGACAAGCCTTACAACGTGTACGTGCCCAAGCCTTACCCAGTACCCGTCGAGAAGCCTTACCCAGTGACCGTGCATAAGCCAGTGCCTTATGAAGTCAAGGTCCCAGTCGACAGGCCCTACAAGGTCGAAGTTGAGAAACCTTACCCAGTCCACATCAAGGTGCCCGTGCCCAAGCCTTACGATGTGTACAAGAAGATCCCTTACACCGTTGAGAAGAAGGTGCCTTATGAAGTGAAAGTGCCCATTGACAAGCCTTACCCCGTGTACAAGGAGGTGCCAGTCCCTCTCGTGAAGGAGGTCCCATACCCAGTCAAGGTCAACTACCCCATTTACTTCAAGAAAGAGATTGAACACCACCAGCCACAGCAACAGCACGGAGGTTGGCACTGAGCCGTTTAGTTCCCTTTAGGTCTCACACCCAGTACCTTATTAGGTTAAGTTGAAAATGTGATCTTTAGTATTTTAGAGTAATGTCGCAATATCTGTTTTGGCGCGTTCGCTCATGTGTGTAAGGTTGTGACCGTATACCACGTCTGCCGCATAGCATTGGCATTCAATGCGCGGTGTGTTCACTTGTAGATACCCCTTAGATAGTAATACGATCTGTTATTTGTTTTTAGCTTTTGTGCGCTTTGTTTTTTTTTATATATATATATATTGAAAAGAAAATGTATGAAACTTGGGAGAGTATTCTGTACTCTGACTTGAGGCTGATATAATAAAATGATTATGAAGTTTTCATTTGTTTTTTTCTCTTTTGGTTAACGTTGATAATTTGATTCAAATCCAAGGTAGGTTGGATCAAGATAAGAAAAAAAATAATTCGGAATCTGTTATTAAAGTTTTATTCGTAAACATAAAATAATAGACATACTACTGGATAACATAATTCATTGACCCTTTTATGAAGAAACTAAATACACAGGCATTAATGAATCGCCGTTGAACATGATGGAAACTTATACAAAATATATAACGTCTCATAAGATATTAGTTGCAATCTCAGTTTTATATTACAACACAGCGTATGTATACGTAAGTAACAGAAATAGTTACATCATCAAAATTAGGACAAACTCTACGCTTCGAATTCATACAAAGTCATTCATACATTATAAACCTTGATTGCATATTAATTACAATAAAAATACATAGATAGCATCTTATGGGCGGATTTATTCTCTGTCGGTTGTTAATATTCGAAGTAAATAGTACAATTTGCAGGAGAATCTGACAGTATAATAGATTTAACCCAAAGAATTTTAAATAAGAATTTTTCTTCTCGAAGCCCATGCAAATATAATACATAATCCTTCCCTATGGATGGAATAGGGAGACTAGGCCAATATAATACTTACCTAATACAAATATAGATAAGATAGCTATTCGTATTTTTTAAACTGTGAAACTCCAATAATTAAGAAGAGATTTAACATGTCATAAAAACACACAGCCTCAAGCAAATTAAAAAAAAGAAAATCCACAGATTATGATTAACTTTCAGATCAAGTGGTCATGACTACTCTAAAGCTTTATAATTTGAGCGTGTCTAATAAAAATCGCCGACCTCGTTACGCCCGATTCTTAAACCGCATGCGTTAGTTATAATGTTTTCACATATTTCGCATTAAAGACATGTACAAATGAACGTTGTACTAAAATTTTTGTGCATATTGCCTAATCGGGTAACGGTTTTGCGTTTTGTGCAATGTGATTGCTCATTTAAAATCTGTAATTGGTGCATTACATGATCTGATATGGTTTCTGCGTTGATGGCTCGGTATAATTGGCAGACGGTGGTGTAACCAGATTGCGTCCATATATTTATATATATATGTTACAGATGCGTACCATGATAGTAAACGTATGAGCCAATTTTGAACCAAGCGTGGGATGTGTTGTAAAGCTACTTATTTAAGTTTATAAGATAGCGCGCTATGTTAAATTCGACATATATTTCGGTAGTCAATTTAGAGCTTTACGACAACGTACGAACGTTAAGGTTACATATTAATTAGAGTCTAAAGCCCGTATTACAGAATGACAACTTAGTGTCGATCTTTACTTAAGTACAGTTAGAAAGGGATGTCGCTATGTGCTATATATAGCTACATCCCTTTTTAACTATGCTCAAGACTAGATCAATCACTTAGAATCTTTCTATAATACGGGCCTAAGTGTCGCCGCACACGGGCCACCCGCCACAAAACAGTTACAGTAGTTTTCGTACATTTTATATTGACTCGCCGCACACGGTTAACGCCGGTGGCCGCCACACGCTACAAGTCGTCGTTGCTCGCTTCTTGTGGCTCGCACCGGCCACTAATGCACTGATACAAAACGGCGCCACACGCTACTCGCGCGATTCCCCACCTTCCAAACCTTCTTTGTCAGAGTCCATTATGATACTGCACGCATGTGTTAAAAAAAAGTAGCAGCCACCGACGCCAAGTGTCGACCACCGGCCACAAGTAGCTGTCGCGCGCTTCAGCTACCTTTGTAGCCGCTTGTAGCTTCTCGTGGCGGCGCGGCGTTTGTGGCTGTCGCATGTGTTCCGTGTGCGGCGACCCTAAGAATTATTTATTGTATAGTCAATAACACATCAAAGTATCTCAAAGCAAGCATGATAAGGGACAAAGTCAGACAGAGAATTTGTAAAACTTGCTCTGGTTTCGATTGTACATTTTTTTCAATATTAGATTCAGTTTCGGGGTTCCGTATCTGAAAAAGAAAAAAAATGTGTGCACGGACCACACACCTGAAGTGAATCTTCATTTCTTAAATAACCTAACATTAGGCGGTGCTTAAGGCATAGGTGAATGGAGTAGAGCACACATCACTTATATATCTATATATTGTCACGTGTGACGCTCGTAGCGTTTCAGCCTTCGCTGAGTTACCTTCCAACTTTCATGCTCGCTGGGTAGAGCTGCGCACACATACCACAGACACACACACAGTCATGTGACGCTCGTGACGCATTTCCGCTTCATCTTTTCCATAGGATTTTTCCATTAGGACCCCTCCGGAAAGAAGTTCTACTTTAAAAAGTTACGGCCGTTTATCTGTCTACCTATCAAGATCCTTTAGCTTGGGACCACGTGACAGTATCGAATGGAAATTTAAACCATATACTCAGGTCTACGGTCCCTTGAAGCTGTTAAAAGTCCAACTTCTAAGTTTACATTAAAAGTGATACGGCCATTTATGTTGCGCACCTACAAATTTTATACGGAACCCTCGGTGGGCGAATCTGAATGTCCTATGTTTTCATATAGCAAACAGACTGTACAACTTAATTTAATTTTATAAAAATTTTATCAGCCAACACATTCGGAAAGATGACTATTATATGGTTGTTGTCAAACCAATATCTGTTATATGCAAAAAAATAATTTCAACTTATGATGTTTTATAGTTATAGATACATCATACGCGCTTCAAATTTGGCAATAAGAAAGTCAGGTAATTGCCCGACTTGCATTCAGTTGGTTATCAAACTTCTAAGTTAACATTAAAAGAAATACTGCCGTTTATGTTGCATACCTACAATTTTTTTTTTTCGAAGTGGGCGAATTCGACTCGCACTAGTCCTATTTTTTCAGTTACATTGACTGGTAGATACTGTTATTAGTATTAAGTTTCTTTTTCTTATCATTTCGTGGCATTAAATAATACCCCCTTATTAATAAACAAAGAATACGTTCGGATTAGTTACTTCATGTTTTATCTCTGTCTATTGAATGACAAATGACATTTGAGTGACATGAACAAAACACGGCGTAACTAGTCTAAGCTTATTCCTTGTTTATTAATAAGAGGGTTAGAGTTTAATGATCAAGGAATAATTTATCATTGAGAGATTCCTCCGGTCGATAGAAAAGACATCAACGCGTCAGTTATCTAACTATGATAGTAGCGAAAATTTTAAAATGGAATGAGATGGCGAATTTCGCACTGATGAAACTTTATCAAGATTTAGGCTCTATTTATAGAAAGATTCTAAGTGATTGATCTAGTCTTGAGCATAGTTAGAAAGGGCTGTCGCTATATATAGCACATAGCGACATCCTTTTCTAACTGTACTCAAGTAAAGATCAACACTTTGTTGTATGTCATTCTGTAATACGAGGCTAAATCTTGAATTTTTTTTTTAATATACTAAGGTTATATTGTTTTATAGTGACATCACTATTATACCTCTGGTTATTTATGAATAAATTAAATCAATTCTCTACCTTTGTATTAAATAAAACCATTGAATAACATTTTAAAGCAGCTGTACTTTTGCTAGATGTGAAGGTTTAAACCTTAATTCTAAATTCCTACACTAAAGGACCATAAAATAAATGTTAAGGTAGGGCAAAGCGGATTTGCCGCTCGAATTGGAGCACCCGCCTGGGGAAGTAACCTCCACCTTACAGAAGACAACAGTAAGATAACACTTCTTTTGTCGGTGTTGCGTTTCTGTCGGTGAGTAAGGTTTCAGGCTCCACGGGGTAGATTATTGGGTCAGGGTAGGCCACGGTGCGAGTGATATATTTGTATCGCAAGCGTTTATTAAACGGAGGAGCTGGCGAACAAAACGGTATCTATCTATATATATATAAAACTCAAAGGTGACTGACTGACTGACATAGTGATCTATCAACGCACAGCCCAAACCACTGGACGGATCGGGCTGAAATTTGGCATGCAGGTAGATGTTATGACGTAGGCATCCGCTAAGAAGAAGAAGGATTTTGATCATTTCTACCCCCAAGGGGATAAAATAGGGAATGAAAGTTTGTATGAATCTTTGTCAATTTAAACCGATCGGGCTGAAACTTTGCATGCAGGAATAAGAAGAATCATGGAGAATGCCATTGTGTATAATACAAGCCCGAGAACAAAAACTTTAGTCTACACTTCAGCTCTACACCGAAGCGAAGCGAGGGCGGGCCGCTAGTTATAACATAAAATAAAATTTTACAGGAGGTGTATAAAACTGAATGACATACCTCCAGTGAGCTTTTGGCATGGTTTTTAATTTATAAATTCAGTTATTTTAACACTGTTTTAGGTAGTTTTGGTTGAAAATTATTTGAGATTCAAATTCAAAGGGCCCGGAGTGTAAAAATGTGTAAGGATACCGTTTTGTTCGCCAGCTCCTCCTATGGTGGCTTAACATCAGGCGGGTCATATGCTTGTTTGACACCCTTCTCCATCCATCCATCCATCCATCCATCAGCCTTTCTTCGTCCACTGCTGGACATAGGCCTCCCCCATAGAACGCCACAATGCGCGGTCTTGCGCTATCCGCCTCCAGCGGCTCCCAGCACATTTGACGATGTCGTCAGTCCACCTTGTTGGGGGCGCCCCACGCTGCGTCGCCCGGTACGTGGTCGCCACTCGAGGACCTTTCTTACCCAACGGTTGTCAGATCCTCGAGCGATGTAGCCTGCCCATTGCCACTTCAGCGTGCTAACTCTGCGGGCTATGTCGTACACACCGGTCCTTCTACGGATCTCCGTATTTCGGATCTTATCACGTAGGGAAACATCGAGCATAGCCCTCTCCATAACACGCTGCGCGACTCTGAGATTTGTTATGAGGCTGACATTCAGAGTCTCTCTCTGACACCATTTTACCATAAAACAATGTTACCTTTTGTTTGACGATACTTTCATCAATAGCAGGTCTGCTATTTTAAAACCATTGTATAATTAATTTTATGCTTAACTTCGCAAATATGTTCGTGTAACCGACAATAAAAGCAGTAAATACGCAACTTGAGTAACTTTTCATTGGGCACTAAAACTTAATGGTCTTTAGCAATAACCGTTCCTATATTAATATTTTCAAATTAAATTTATCTATATAAATACATAATTGACTTTCACGCTGGACTGAGGGAAGGAGAAACATAGAATAAACAGGCTGTTCAACTTCATTTAATTTTCTAAAAAGTTTATCAGTCAACACATGCGGAAAGATGTGTATTATACGATCGTTGTCAAACCAATATCTGCTTTATGCAAAAACTTCATTTCAGCTTATGATGTTTTATAGTTATAGATACGTTTGTCGCTTCAAATTTGGCAATACGGAAGTCAGGTAATTACCAGACTTGCATTCAGTCGGGCACGCTACACTTCGCTACAAAGTGTAGATAAATATTTTACATTTTTCCAGACAAAAAGCCTTATGTGTGTTTTAAGATCGTACACAAATTACACGGGAACTATGAGAGACAAGAAAAACGTGTCATTTCATTCATAACTAAAGTTTTAAAGAAACTAATGTAAAATATTAAGTGATTACTTATTTTGACAGTT